CTGGGTTCTGTGTTACAATCTTACACATTAAGAGATCTGCAAAGAAGAAAGCAAAGAGGAAATGACATCCTTTAAGTTAGAAATTCAGGCCTCAACTTGTGTCATGACTGGTATCTGAGTCCAGGGGCAGTTCTATGGGACCAAGCCCTTAATCTGAGGAATATGAGGGTAGGTAGCTGGCATCAAAGCATGGAGCTGAATTAAAGGACAACCACTAGTGGCTTCTGCACAATCTATTCAGAATTGGCTGCTGGTGGGGAGAGATCCTTACACACATTTTGGTGAGCAGATATAAAGCATCCTAGACTGTGAGGGTAGGAAAAACTACATCATTACACTGTCTTACTAGCAGTAAAGAGGCCGAACAACTTAAACTTTCCTGTACAGCCTAGCAAATAGTTAAGCATTCACTCATATATAAATCAACGCACTTTTTTTTTTTTTGGGTCCGGTCATGGGGCTTGAACTCTGGGCCTGGGAGCTGTCCCTCAGCTCTTCAGCTCAAAGCTAGCACTCTACCACTTGAGCCACAACGCCACTTCCGGCTTTTTTTTTTCTGCTTATGTGGTGATAAGGAATGGAACCCAGGGCTTCATGCAAGCAAGGCAAGCGCTCTACCACTGAGCCACCTTCCCAGCCCCATCAATGCATATTTTATTGCATAAGAGGTTTTACATTGTGCGAGGGTCCTGGGAATTGAACTCAGGGCCTGAATGCTATCACTATCCCTGAGCTTTTTCGCTAAGGCTCCACTTCCAGCTTTTTGGTGGTTAACTAGAAATAAGAGTCTCACAAATTTCCTGCCCTGGCTGGCTTCAAACCACGATCCTCAGATCTCAGCCTCCTGAGTAGCTAGGATTACAGGTATGAGCCACTGGCAGCTGGCAAGAGGTTTTAAAATGTAATACCAATTTATCAAACTTTATACATTTGCTTTCATATATTTCTAAAAGAATTCACTTACGATTGAAAACAAGATATTACATATTCAAAGTCCAACATTTCACATTTACATGTTAGAACTGGTTGTTCATATTTAAGTAACTATAGTGTATAATTCTTTTCCATATGAGTAAGTGAATGATCACATTTGAGTTGTGTGTGTGTGTGTGTGTGTGTGTGTGTGTGTGTGTGTGTGCATTACAGACATCTATCTAGGGGGCAGCGGATGGGGATGTTAAAAATCCAGCATTCCTCCAACACAGAGTTATCCTAAATTGTCGATAATGCGACTGTTGACAAAGCCATCCCCTTTGACATCCATAATTACTTCTGCTCAACTTTTGACTGCTTACTTCAAAGGTTTGGTCACATCTTTCTACACCAAATATTATTCAGCTCCAAAAATAATTCTCAGTCTTGTAATTAGATCTAAAGCAGATTTCTATTATACATTTATATTAAGTATGAAGTTCAATGTTTTGTTATTTCCAGTAATGCTGTGAATCTATCATTGTTCATAGTCCTGTGCAACTATAATCTCTAGGCCCAATCCCCTACAACTGGAATTGTGAGTCCAAAGGTATACAAGTAGATGTCAGTTCATAGGGCCAAGTGGTTTTATGTAAAACTTATAGCCTATCAAAATTATAGCTATTTTAACCCATAACTATAGGATAACCTATGTTATATAGTCTGCATAGTTAAATTGTATAAATTTATCTAAATGGATAAATACCATTGCTAAAACACTTTCTGATCATACTTTGAACTCTAGACCATCTAATAAGCAAAATTCTGTTTTAACTGTATTTCCTTATTATAAATCCGACTAAGTACATTTGCTTATTGACCATCATAAGCATTTTGTTTGCTGTGAATGGCTAGACCCATTTCATGTGAAAGTACATATATATATATATATATATATATATTTTTTTTTTTTTTTTTTATTGATAGAGAACACTTACTGAGACTATGACAGCTATTTTTCCCCCAATCTGTTGTTGTTGTTTTTAAGAATTGTTTAAAAGTTTTAGGTAAAGAAGTTTTTCACCTTCATACACTCAAATTTATCAGATTTTCCCTTGTAATTTCTTAGATTTCTTTTGTTTACTTTTTTTTTGGAGGGGGGGGGTCAGGTCGTGGGGCCTGAACTCTGGGCCTGGGCGCTGTCCCTCAGCTCTTAAGCTCAAGGCTAGCGCTCTACCACTTGAGCCACAGCGCCACTTCCAGTTTTTTCTTTTTGCTTATGTGGTGCTGAGGAATCGAACCCAGGGCCTCAGGCATGCAAGGCAAGCGCTCTACCACTGAGCCACCTTCCCAGCCCTCTTTTATGTTTACAAAGTCCTTAGCCACCGCAACAAATTACCACCATATGAGTAATACTATTAAAACAAACTCCCAAGCTTGTGTTTTCTGCCTTGGACTTAAACTTGCTATTTCAGCATGATACTGCTCAGCACCGAGTTTCATGTAGCACTTAACACTTCTTAAAAAATGTCTTGATGTACATTCCATGTATTGTAACCTTTATTTGGATCTCCAATATGATAAGCTTTACTTTCTGACCTGTGGATATCTCAAGTTGTGTCTTACACAAAATGAAAGTATAGATGAACCATGTCAGAAGGCAGAGTAAGTAACTACTTCAAACATTACATATAAAATCAGTAGTGCTTGAAAAATGTTGAGAAGTATTGAGATTCACACATAACGACAATGAGAAGTCTGTAAGTTTAAGACACAAAGCAGGAAGTCAATTTCAGTTTCTATTACTGGCACCTGCCACTCTATTTGCTTTTGGGGGGTTTAGCTCTCCCCCACATTCTTACTCTTACAAAAACAATAGCATCCAATTACATTGGCACAACACAGGAAAAATCAGTTGACAGACTTGGAAAATACTTTCTTCTCATAAAGTTTGACCTGTGACTATATTGAAAGAAACATTTTTAAGCCAGTATTTTGGTAATTACTGCCTTTACTAAATAGGCCTAATGTTTGAGAGATTGGGCTAACAAAAGACTGTGTAAAGCTGGTGGCCCACGCCTGTAATCCTAGCTAGTAATCCTAGCTACTCAAAAGGCTGAGATCTGAGGATCGCATTTCAAAGCCAGCCCAGGCAGGAAAGTCCATGAAACTCTTATCTCCAATAAACCACTAGAAAACCAGAAGTGGTGCTGTAGCTCAAGTGGTAGAGCGCTAGCCTTCAGCTGAAGAAGAGGGCTCAGGCCCAGAGTTCAAGCCCCACGACAGACCAAAAGAAAAAAAAAAAAAAAGGCAATGTAACAAAGTATGGTCTTAATGGAAGGATATAATATTTTTGAAAAGTGACTGAGCTTACTAATACTAACATGAATAGCCTGAAGTGTCCTAAGTCCTATGAAAGAAATACCATCATCGTTCATAATTACAAAAGAAAACCAAGACATAATACAGTTAATGGCTGAAGTTTTTTCAAGCTATCAGAATACAAAACTATGACTTACTTCAACAGTAAATACAGAGAGTAGGAGTAAACTTTACTTTGTTAAATGTTTTCACCTTCAGATGATGCATTAAGAAAAATGCTGTTTCCTTTAAGCTGCCTACCTAGCCTCAGAGCAGAGCACTGCATTAATCAACAAGTCTCCAGGGGTTCTCAGAATCTGCAGTTATGCCATGAGACCATTCATAGGCAGAGGTACACTACTGCTGGAATGAACATACACATTCTTCTCAAACACCACCCATTTCTACCAGACATCCTGGGGCTCTCAGGCTTTTACAGAGGAAAGGAAGAATGACTGAAATTAACTATCCATGGATTACTAAAGATTCCTGTCCTTAAAAAAAATCATGTCCACATTTTTCAGTTCCATTCTGTAGCTGTATTTCAACATACTGAGCAGAAAGTAAACCATACTTGGTGTCAAAACATTTTTAAATCCAGGCTCTGGCAACCATTTACTAGCTATGTACCAAGAGCGAAACAACCTGTCCAAACCTCAGTTTCTTCCTTTATACAAATAAGAATACCACCATTGGCCTGTAGGATGTCTAAGGTTAAATTAGACAATGCAACTGAAAATGTTCCACGGAAGTGAAGTAACAGACAAATGCCAAATACTGTTATTTTCTGCTAAGAATAAATCCAGTCTTTATTGCTACTCCTTTTTTTTTGGTAGGAATAAAGCAACAGATGGCTTATAATTCAGAAAGGCTTAGTAAAGAAGAATCTTACTATCAACCCACTCTCAGCTACAATTCAAAAGCAGAAGCCCCCCAGAGACTGGTTACAAGAATTACCTCATCAAACAAATTTGCCAAGTTGCAACTACTGGAGAAAAAAACTGACACAATTGCTTCCCACTGGAGTGATGGAGATGAAAATACAAAATACAAAAAGCTTTGAACATTTCATCCACGTACATCAAACTAGGAGTTACAGCCTTTTTTTGCGAACGGTTCATACTTTCTAGACAAAATTGCTCAATCGTTTTCAGCAGCTCCTCTTTCACTCGATTTTAGGGCTGGTTATTAGTATAAGCTTCCTCACGTGGACTACGGGTAATGGTTTCAAGGTCTGACATTCAAAATCCCGTCTCCTGGGCTTGGATGTCACTGACCACAAACATTCCGCGATCGTGTGGGGTTTGCAATTGCAGTAGAAATGACAACCTACCAGCACTCTGCAACGTGTGGAGGGAAAACTGAGGCTCGAGCCTTGGCACAAATCCAAGGTCTCACACGGCCAGCCCGGGACTGCCAGAGTCGCTGTTTTGCCAAGGCTGTCGCATAGGGCACGGCCGTGAGTCATCCCCAAGAGCATCAGCAGGGCGAGCGCCGCGTGCCCTCGGATGCACGCTTTTTCCTCGTCCCCGTATCCGCCACACCGAACCCCGGATGGGGCCGGGGGGGAGGGGATGCCAGCCCCGAGACGGCACGAGCACCGCTCCCCCCGCTCCCCCCACCACAAAACGCCTTCGGGGGAATCCAACTGCGACTCCCGGCCCTCCCCGGAGGAAGGCGGGGCGGGCGGACGCCGTGGCGGCCCGCAGGCTCCCGCTGCGCCTTACCGAGGAGCCGGAGGAGGACCTGGAGCACGATACAGAACCGGCTCTGGCTGGAATCGTAGTAGGAGTTGAAGATGGCGTCGATGATGTAAAGGCAGGGCACCCGGAGCGCCACCTCGAGCGCCGTCCACATCTGCTGACGGGCCATCCGCACCTGCTGCTGCGGGGGCCCCACCGCCGCCGTGAGCCGCTGCCACACCGGGGCTGGGCGGGCCGGGCAGGGCCGCGCGGGGCAGGGCCCGGGCCGGCGGCCGGGCGGGGCGGGGGCTCCGGCGGCGGCTCCGCCCCGCCGCCCTCCTCTCCTCTCTGGCGGCCCGCCCCGCCGCCCGCCCGCCCGCCCGCCCGCGTCTCCGGAGCTGGAGCAGGCGGCGGAGGCGGAGGCTGGGGCGGCGGCGGCGGCTCCCCGGGAGGTCTCCGGGCGTCGGTGTTTCCGGCTGGCTATGGTCTGGCTCCTCCTCCCTCCACCGCCTCCCCCGCCCGCGGAGCCACCATCTTGACCCCGCCTGCCTCGGCCTTGGCTGCGGTGGCGAGGCCCGGAGGCTGGGCCCGCGGTCGCGCGAGAACGGGAAGCCCGCGCCGCTGCTTGCGTCACAATCCGGCGCTTCTCAGGCCGTCGTCGCGCCGGGCGCACAGTCTCGGAGCGTTGCCATGGTTTCCGCCCGCCACCGAGGCGCGCGCGGGAGTCCCGGCGCTAACGCGGGGGCAAGCATTCGCGGTTTGCTTAGCGCCCAGCGAGTGGCCCGACAGGCTGAGGAGGCCGCGCCGAGCCCGGGCAGACGGCCCGGCAGCACCGGCTCCGCCGCGGGCCCGGCGGCGTCACGGCCAGCCTGCGTGGGGCGGCCGTCGCACGTGGCGCTGGGCTACGTGCGGTGGGCGCTGCCAAGGTAAGCCTCCCTTTCGTCTCTGTGCACGCTTCCCTTCCAGCCTCCACCCCTGTGCCGGCAGGCAGAGCAGAGGGCCGGCACGGCCCCGGGGCCTCCCGCCCGACCCATGCCTCCGCGTCTCTGAGGCCGGCGCACCTGGACAGTCTCTTCCTCTTCGGGGCCGGTGAGTCCATTCTTCCTGCCTGTCCGTGTTGTTGTTCCTTTTTCTTTTCTTCAATAGGAAGCAGAAAGCCTGGCTCCCCAGGGCTCCGGGTCCAGAGTCTCCTGCAGGCTAGTGTCTGTCCGCCTCCTGTGGTGCGATCCTTTACCAGCACCCCCTCCATAGGGGGAGATCCTTAGCAGAATTACCCAACTCTTACAGGACATTTCTGTCAGGCGTGGTAGTCCTTGTAGTCCTACTCTGTAAGTAGTGCAAAAACTGAACCCTTCACCCAGCAGCGCCCACTCTTCAGCCATGTTTGTTAAAAAACAACAACAAACAAAACTTCATTTCCCTCTCCCCATCTATCTAGGGCTTTTACTATATGCTAGGTACTGTGTCCAGGGTTTTACCTTTTAATGGAGTCTTTGCATTGGCCTATTGTGGCGGGTATTACACCTGTTTTACAAAGAAAATTAGAGTTTAGATAAATTGCAAGATCATAAAGGTAGTAAGCAGTGGGTTGCCAGTAAGCCCCAAACTGCCAAGAGTTAAACTTAAGATTTGAATCCAAAGTTGTAAGGTAAAAATTTGGCATCTTTGATTTCTTCTTTTACTTACAGCCACTTCTACACTGAATCAGTGTAGGCTCTGTCTTCACAGTGTCTTTCTAATGCCATCATCACATCTTAGTTCAATTCCCTACTGTACTTTGGTTTATTGCAATGCCCTCATTGTGATTCACCTCAAATCTAGTCTGTTTTCCTAAACTGTGTCTGTGGGGAATAACTTTGTACTTATAGCAAAATTCCCAAAGGAAAACAAACTTGGTAAAAGGTGAGAGAATTATGAAGACCTATGCAAATTATCTACTAATTGGGTAATTATAGATATAAATAAGCTATTCAATTCATCTCTTACTCAGCCCTGAGTGGAATTTCAAGCTGAAAGAATGAAGCCATTATGGAAAAAAAGGTTCACAAGGACTAATTTCAAACAAGAATATGACAGAGGACACAGGAGGTGAATACCATTATATTGTGATTGTGCAAAATGGAAAATAAAGTAGTTCAATGGTTTTCCTCTATTTTTTATTTTTAAAAAGTTAAATGCAAACATTAAATAAAAAGTTTTTTAAAACGAACAAATGCTTCAGTCCTCATCAATGTTGTATTGTTTCTAATCTTAATTTGGTGAACAGATATTACAAGAGTGTCTGTAGGCTCACTATAATACATAACGATTAACGAAAGATACTATGAGAACTAGATGGCCGCTGAGCAAGATGACAAAATTTATGAAGGCTTCCTTTTAAAGGGGTTCCTAACTCAGGCTAACTTCTGTCAGGGCCAAGATCTTTCAGGTGGTGATATAAGCATCCTTTCTTATCTAGAACTTCAAACAAGTCTCTATATTTATTGGGTCTGGCAGTACTACAGTTTGAGTTGATGGCCTTATGCTTGCTAGATGGACACTCTTATGGCTGAATCACGACTCCAACCTTTTTTCACTCATTTTTTTTTTTTTGCTTTTTTTTTGTCATTGTTGGTCTTGAATCCAGGGCTTGCCTGCTGTCCTGAGCTTTTGTGCACAAGGAACACTAACAGTCTACTACTTTGAGCTACACTCTGGCTTTCTGGTGGTTAGCTGGAGATAAGTCTCTTGGCCTTCCCTGCCTGGGCTGGCTTCAAACCAAGATCCTCAGATCTCAGTCTTCTGAGTAGCTAGGATTATAGACATGAGACACTGTTGCCTGGCTTGCAATGGTTATTTTTGAGATAAGGTCTCCCTTCCCAGGAATAAGAGCTACCTGTCATAGCCAGGATGACAGGTACATGTCACCACAAACTTGCAGACTTTCTGCCCTGGTGGCCTGGGCCTGCATTCTTCCCAATATTTTCCCATGCAGCTGAAAGTTCCACAGAGGTCTTTGGTGTGTATACCTGGGCTTACCTTAAACCTTGGCTCTCTTTCAGCCTCCTAAGTAGCTAAGGATGACATGTGTGAGGCAGTTCTGCCCAGTAAGTCTTTTTAAAACTTTCTTCATTTATAAAGTGAAGGTGTAACTAAACTATATGGCAAGTATTTTAAAATAATACCTTTAATACTGTTGAAGTAACATAAAATGCTTAGGATTTTTTTTTTTTTTGGCAGTCATGGGGCCTGAACTCTGGGTCCCGGCCCCAGGAATTCTTAAAAGATAGGCTTTCAGAACCCCAGGAATTCTTAAAAGACAGGCTTTCAGGACCCCAGGAATTCTTAAAAGATAGGCTTTCAGGGGCTGGGAAGTTGGCTCAGTGGTAGAGTGCTTGCCTCGCATGCATGAGGCCCTGGGTTCAATTCCTCAGCACCACATAAGCAGAAAAAGCTGGAAGCAGTGCTGTGCCTCAAGTGGTATGGCACTAACACTGAGCTGAAGAGCTGAGGGACAACACCCAGGCCCAGAGTTCAGCCCCCATGACCACCCCCCCCCCCCAAAAAAATAGGCTTTTAAAGAAATAGTTGCAATATACTGAATCCAATCTTTGCTTGTTTCTACATTGACTCAAATGCTGCACAATTTATGGTATATGTTTACCTCAAGTCTATTAAGAGCTCTGTGTGTGTATGTGTATATTCATACCAATGCACCAACTCTGTACATAGAATACTTGTGTTCAAAAATAACAAACTGAGCCTGTAATCTCAGATATAAGGGAGATGAATAAAGATTGTGGTTTGAAAGTAGCTAGGACCAAAAAAGTGAAATTTTCTTTCAAAACATGCCTTGGGAGGCAAAATAGCTACTTGGGAGGCATAGGTAGGATGACTGAGGTCTGAGGCAAAATCATGAGACCCTATCTGAAAAGTGAGGAGGACGGGGAGTGTAGCTCAAGTGGTAAGGCCCTGAATCCAAACCCAATACCACTACCAGCAAAAAACCATTTTTAAAAAATCATGTCTTCATTTATCTTCAACAATTCAAAAGGCTTTTAGTAGCTTTCAGTTTTTAGATGGCAGATGTATAAAACCTAGATTGAATTTTCTGTGGATACTCATCAAGTCACTGTTCTCTAACAAAATCTGATTTTTGGCTGTATTAATACAGAAATTTAGTAAGAGGACACTGTTTCTCAAGATTTCAGGTAAAACTACTCAGTTAAGCTTTATAAATCATGTCTCTGAACTTAAGCTTCCTTAGTGGGAGAGAAATGAGAAACAAGCACTGGAGTTACACACATACACACACAACAATGTATTTAAAGTGGCAAATGCAGGTGCAGGTGAGAAGAGTAGGGATTGGTAAACAAGGCATATACTCCAATAGTATGAGTACTGTAAAGATCAGCTAGAATTGTTTTTGAGGTGGTAATTAAGCAGAACTTAATGAATATTAGGATATAAATGAAAAGTAAATGTTAATGTAGGCTGGTGATCAGACCTGTTCTGAGTACTAAGATACTGCCAAGAGAAGGAGTAGAGGTAACAAACTTTCTTGGCAGTACTAAGATTTGAACTCAGTCTTGTGCTTGTTAAGTAAGTGCTCTGTCACTTAAGTCATAGCCCCCAACTTCCTTTTTCAAATAGCCATTTTCCACATAGAGCTTGCATTTTTCTCCAGGGCCTGCCTGCTCAGCACCTCATTTTTCCTACTTATGCCATGTGTTACCATACCCTGCTAATACCTTGTCACTTTTTGACAGTGTTCCTGTTGCTTTTGTAGAGATTATTCCTCTGCTGTTTGGAAGTCATCCACTGTATTTGATACTGTGTCAACAGATGCTGGATATTGATGGTATTCTTTTCTGTCCTCATAGTATAACCTATAGTAACCTAGTAATCTGTAGACACTATTTTGACACTGTTTCTGGTCTCTGTGAAATTTCGTGTGATCAAATGATTGAGTAATCTTGCAGGTAATTATGAAAAAACTCCACTGCCTTCAAGTGATTTTTTTTTTCATGGGGCCTGAACTCTGGGCCTGGGTGCTGTCCCTCAGCTCTTCAGCTTAAGGCTAGTACTCTATGACTTGAGCCAAGCACCTCTTCCGGCTTTTTCTGTTTATGGGGTGCTGAGGAATCGAACCCAGGGCCTCATGCATGCAAGGCAAGCACTCTACCACTGAGCCACCTTCCCAGCCCCCTTCAAGTGAATTTGACCAGCTGTATCTTACACCAACTCCTTATCTACAACCTAGGTCAAAAAGGCAATCCTTAATCCTTAATCCTCAAAT